ACACTCTTTTATTCAACGCTTCCGCTATTACAATCCTACTCAGTCCTTAAACTCTACAAAGATCCTAGGGCTTTTCAGCCCAACAACACAGAGGGTATGATGAGGGGGGAAACTGAACATACCAAAACAGCTCTCAGAAACACTTGAAAACATACCACCAGACTTCGACAACGTTATCCTCAAAACAACTTATGATGTTGATTTGATATTGTTCCAACCAAAGGTATGAACCAATATCCTTAATAGATTTGGAGACAAGAGATAAACTTTTTGTTTACAAAACCACATGACATGCCTTGCTCATGAATGTTCTGAGGGTATTTGTCAGCTGAGACCAGGGCCTCAGATTCATTTTTAGCTGGGCTGATACGTCAGCCTTAGCAGGCTACGCTAGGCTGATCAATCAGAGCTTGGTATAAAAAAAAACCTGAAATTTCAGACAAGTCCTAAAAAAAAACGCTGACTAATCAGCCTCATTAAAATGTTCAGGCTGATCTATGTTTCAGCACTATGATCATTAAGTTTAGCACGAGACTAGACATTCACTACACTACTCACTACATAACACTGCACTACAGAACACATGACATTACACTACATTACATTCCACTGCACTACATCAGCTGCTCATTTCATCATCCTCATCACTAGAACTACCTCCTGCATCTCCTACCATCGCCTCCTCATTATTTGCATCTACTCGCTCCTCATGCTTGCCCTTCTTGTTGTCGCCTGGGGTTGGGGTGCAGATGGGCGCATTGCTGAACGGCTTGCGCTTCTTGTAACTCCGCCAGATCTCAACTACCTCATCGTAGTTGGGCTCGTACTGCATCAGGGACAGACACATGAGGTCCCCCAGTCTCGCGTCCTTGAGCCCCCCTCGCCGCCATGTTTTAATCACGTTCTGCCGGGTGAATCCCCTTTCACACTCCACTGTGCTGAGGGGAATCACAGCCACCGCCACCCAGAGCTGTACCAGATTGGGGTAGCTCTCCCTCCAGTCTGGCGTCTTGAGGATAGCCGTTAGACCGCTGTGGAAGCCCCTCTCTTCCTTGGGCGCACGCGCAAGGACTGAACAAAAGAGGCGCAGCTCCTTGCCTGCCTGCCTCTTGTTGATGCCTGGCGGAAGGGACGGAGGCAGGGTGAAGAAGAGGCGCGTGAGCAATCAAAACAAAGGATTGTCAAGCATATAAGGGAGGAATTGAGTGCACAAATCAAGCATAACGAACCTGGCAAGATCTCCTCGCGCTCCTGAGCCTTGAACATGGTCACCAGCGAGTGGAGCCACTCCTGGCAACGAGCATTGCGCTCAGACTTGGAGAGTGGCCATGCGTCAGGAGTGAAAAGGCGGACTCCTGAGAGAGAGTCGAGATCACCGAGCCTTTCCTCCAGGTTCGCCACAATCCTCTCTGCGAACTCGGTGCACAACTGGATGCAGCCGTCGTGGTCCTCCAGTCCGCTGTACGAGGCCACGGGCTCGTCGTGAAGGTTGAACGTGATTGTAGATGGACGACCGTCGCTGTCGACACCTTCCACCTTCACCTCGCGGCTACACCCCGGGCCATGGCGCTCCAGGAAAGGTGTCAGCCACTGGCTGCTGCCACCGCCGAAGTCATCGCCGCAGTCCACGTAGCGGCTCTCGATGTGACGAGTTGTCCGCTTGATCTGCGCATGCAGAGACACAAGATCGAGCTGGACAGACAAAGACACACAGTGACAAAATTAGTAAAGGTATATATGCTTAAATACATTGTTAAAACCGCGGCACCTCACCTGTCTCTGCTGGAATGTCTTGTTCAGGATGTTGAGCTGCTCAAGCACATCAGCGAGGAAGTAAAGGAAGAAGTGGAAACGGTAGGAGCTTGTCAGCGCGTACATCTTGCTGTTAAGCTCCCTCAGCAGCACAATCACTGCCGGCAAAACAGCAACAAGACGGCGGACGGCATCCCCCCGTAACAACCACCGCACGGAGTGGATGCCTTGCACTTCAAGGGTTGTTTCCGTGATGACCTCCTGCAGATCCATGAACCGTGCGTGGCGCGGTCCGGACCGACCAAGCAAATCGGCCACAGCGCGGATGAGATCGTCGACCATGTCGAAGACGGGGAGCTCCTCTGCCGCATCCTTCGCTGCAAGTGCCTCCCTGCAAGTGGAACACATCAAACAGGGGAAATTAGAGAAGAGCTACAACAACAGAGCGAACAACAGCGAGGCTCACTAACCTGTGCGCGATGCAGTGAACGGAGACAAGGTGCGGGATCTTCTATCGCAGACGGACAACAAGGCCGGCCTTGGATCCCATCATCACTCTTGCGCCGTCGGTGCTAATGCCGGAAATCCGCTGTAGATCTACACCGACTGCCTGCAAGTGGGAGAGCAGGATGCTCAGCAGAGAAGAAGCGTCCGCCTTTTCCACCGTGATCAGCTGCATGAACTCGGTCACGAGGACGTTGTCGCGGATGAACGAGACGTACAGGATCATGTGTTTTCCCGTGAGCCGATCCGTGCTTTCATCAATGCAGATGCCGATGAAAGGGCTTGTCAGGATATGCTCCAGTTGTGTAGTCTGTAGCCAGGTAGCAAGGGCCTGCGTGAGCTCACCGAAGCCATACCTACACGCAGGTCAAACAAAGAAAGGAGATTAGAAGTAGGAAATGGTAAGAGCAAGACAAAACACCAACAAAATTACAGGGATACTAATACTCACGATGAATAGTAGGTGCCATATCCCTTCTTAGGGAAGCCCTGGACACCCTTGCGTGCCAGGTACTGCACCAGCTTAACCCATGTTCCCATGGGCGCATCGCAGGAACTGACGAACAGCATGGAGTCCAGCAACGCCATGACTCGGTTCTTCTCAGCATCGACGGCGGCTCGATGTTGGTCGATCCGTGGCTGCTTTGAGGCCGCGTTCAGCAGAGCCTCCTGCTTCTCCATCGCCAGCCTGTGTTTCGTCGTGCCGGCGTGCTTGCGAAACGCCTGCGTTTGCACGTCGGTCGCCCCATGCCCCGTCCGGCCACAGCGTCCCCTGACTCCAGCATGCTTGGTGCAAACACTGCACTTAAAAGCAGGGAAACCGGATTTCGATTTGGTTAGCACAAGCCACGGGAAGCGTTCTGACCACTTTGTTTTGTACTTCAAAAGTGCATCTTCATAGACTGCATCAATGGCCTCCGAGATGTCTATGACCAATGGTGGATGAGATGACGTGTTGTTCACGACAGGTTGTTCAACGGCGGTGCTGGAAGACGGCTTTGCCCAGCTCAGCGTCGACTGCTTTAGATTGAAGTTGCGCGGGGTAGACGACTTTGTTGTTGGCGACTCCACCACCACAGTGTCGGAGACACCAGCCGGCGCAACAGGCTCGCTCCGGATGGAATCCGGGCTTGAAGGAAGCGGTGGGTGGTCGCGGTTCTCCCTCCTGACAGGAGCAGGCTTGGCAGTAGGAGGCCTGTGAGCGAGGACACTAGGGCCAAGCGAGTGCAAGAGCAGATCAAGCCCCGTCCGGGCTTCCTCTAGGCCTTCAAGTTCATCATCTGAGTCTGACATGCCTGCATCATCATCGCAAGCTAGGCCTTCTGCAAGGCCGGCCATGGCTGAAAGGGGAGAGTGTGCCGAGCTCCAGTGTTGCTAGCTAGGGTTTGAGGAAACCAGGGCGAGAGGCGGGGATTGACAGTGCAGCTCGCCTGGTGGGTGGGTGCAGTGGGGTTAGCAAGAGAGAGCAATAAAAGAAGGCCCTCTCGTCCTCACCACCCAACTGCAACGCGGCGCGACGTGGGGGCACCATGCACGCACTTGGATGCAGGTTAGGGGTGGGTGAGATGGGGTGAGGTGGGTGAGGTGGGTGTCCTTGTCGTGAGTGCGTGCGGTGCGGTGCTGTGTTGCACTGGTGGTGGGTGATTGGCCCAAGAGGGATGTGATTGCCGAAACAACCAATCACATCACTTACTGCACTCTGTCGGTGACAACGAAGCAACCGACGCATCTGGGAAATTGAAATTTTCCCCCGCGTCAGCGCTGTACAGGGCAACATTTGCGTGATTGACAGGGGATGTACCTGGACAGCCGAAACTCACGGCTCCAGCACGAAACTGTAATAGAGAGAATTCAGCCTACACTCTCGTTACAAGGCTGGTCAATCAGCGAACACTTGTAAAAAAACGCTGGAAAATCAGCCAACACATAACCAAAAAACCTGAACAATCAGCCACAACGTGAAAAAAAAAACTGAATAATCAGCCAACACAGCAGCCACAAGTCTGGGAAATCAGCCTTCAGACACTAATTCAGCCTTTTTTCTCTGACTTCTGAGGGCCTGGCTGAGACGAATAGAATAGACGGGTTGCATGGGACGGAGGGCAGAGGAGAAGCTGGAAGAAGTGGGCCCTGTGTATTGATGGGAAAAAGGCATTTGTGTTTTGTTGTGAGGAAAAGGCATATGTGACGCATGTTGCTGCGCACTTGGACTAATTGTCTTTTTCCCCTTGCAATCGTCCCTTACCCTTACCCCTCAGCACTAGTTTCTCACACCACCCGAGGTGGTCCATCTCCCCTGGCAGGCTGCTGTGAATGCAGCAGGATGCGGACACAGTGATTGCAGTTCTGAATCTCTGGAATGGACTATTTGGAGTGACATGCAGGAGATGAAGACTTGCGTTATCCCCGAGATCACAGGAGCATGCGGCATCAGGGACACATGGCCGACCATGGCGTCTGAGAGGGCATGGAGGCTCGACAGGTTCGGATCGGACTTCTGTGATGCTGACTTGATTACCTGGAAGAAATGGGCGAAGAGGGAAAACACGGCAAAGAAATGAATGGATGACCATGGTGATAAGAAAGAGGTGGCAAGCAGTTTGTTCCCTTTAGGGACAGCCCACTCAGAACTCACCTGCATTGCAGACTTTCCAACGCCCACACTCTGCCTGATGTTCCGTTCAACATTCACCTTCAGGTCTTCTACCATCTGTCCCATTCTGGCACAGGCACATTGCCGGCTGTCATGGCACAGGCACATTGCCAATCAACTCCTGCTCCCCCAGGTGGGCCCAGCTGAGCGGGCGCAGCTCCTCCTGCGAGTGGGCGAACCTGCAGTTGCTCACGTACGGGCACACGCCTTTCTGGAACTTCACGCACATCTTTGTGCGGTAGAATATGCGCAGCCGACCACCAGGGCCGTTCGCTGGGCCTGAGTGGGGTGCTCCTGGTGGTATACCACCTGTTTCTGGGCCTCCTCCGCCCATCCCAGCGCCTCCTCCGCCCCCCCCTGAACCTGCCCCTGCGCCTCCCCCTACACCGGTCCCAATTCCGCCCCCACCTCCCTCTCCGCCTCCCGCTCCTCCTCCTCCGCCTCCCCATCCGCCAGGCCCGTCCATTCCCCCTGAGACAGGGCCATATCCCATGTTCATCCCCATTCCGCCCGCTCCACCCATTCCCATCCCCATGCCCCCGCCCATATTCCGTCCCATGCCCATGTTCCCCATGTTCCCCATGTCCATCCCCACCATACCCCCCATTCCCCACCCGCCTCCGCCTCCGCCTCCCCCCCCCCCCACGACCCAACCCATGCCAAAACCCATGCCTGAACCCATACCTCCAGGACCCATACCAGGCCCCGACCCTCTCATACCTCCAGGACCCATACCAGGCCCCGACCCTTTCATACCTCCAGGACTCATGCCAGGTCCGGATCCCACCTGCACGTCACCATCCGCCCATGCAAACTCTGCTGTCATTGCTTGCCTCCTCTTTCTACTCTTCCCTTTCAGGCCTCTTGCATCCAATGCCCCACTACTCTCAGCCAATTGCTCTGCCATAGCCTCCTTGTGTTCTGCCAACTCCCCTTCAACCACTCCTAACTCCCCTTCAAAAACTCCCAACTCCTCTTTAACTACTGTCAACTCCTCTTTAACCACTGGCAACTCCCCCTTAACCGCTGGGAACGCCCCCTTAACCACTGGCAACTCCTCTTTAACCACTGCCAACTCACCCTTAACCGCTGCCAACTCCCCCTTCACCACTGCCAATTCCCCTTTAACCACTACCAACTCCGCTGTAAACTCCCCCTTCACCGCAGCCAACTCCCCCTTCACTGCTGTCAACATGTGCCGCAGCTCATCCACCTCCTCCTTGTGTGCAGCCAGCTCCTCTCTCACTGCTACCAGCACCGCCTCTCTCATCGAGTTACTCACTGCACTCGTCACTCCCTCAACAGCCATGCATCCACTCACTCCCCTCAAATAACCCTCTTCCAATATTTGATTCACCTTCGTTCAACTGTCTTTTCGCACTGCAGACTTGTGAAATATAAAATGTGAGGCCTGTGTACGGCAGGGTTGAGCGTCATGAAAGGAAGGAGGAACGTAAAAAGAACAGTGGAAAAAGGGGCGTGGTCAGTACACACACGAACAAGACCAATTACACAGGCATGATGTAAGGAACGGAGAAGTTGAAGAGCACAAGAAGAGGAAGACTCGATGATCAGACGTGGGAGAGTGGATTGTACACATGCCTGGATGAAGCAGTGAGAAAAGAAGCTTGCACGCAGTCATGCATTTGGCATGAAATCAGGCAGAAGGGAAATAGACCAGGGTAGCCCAGGAGGAGATTAGATGTAAGGTGGGGCAAGAAATGCGAGCAAGGACTGTCAAGAAGGGACATTGCAAGGCTGGAAACAAATACAGAGGGTGAAGGGCGGAGAGCTTCAGAGACTAGATTGGACGGTGATGTGACAGGGGTTCAATTATCCAACTGGCAAAGCATGAACGCCAAGCATGGAAGGAGGAAAAAGCAGAGAGGAAATTCTGAAAGAGTAAAACAGAAGCACAACAGCAAACAAAACAACGAGAGGAACTAGAGAAGTCCAACAAGGGATTACCAGTTTGGAGAGAGGTACACAGGGTGGTGTAGGTTCAGTCAGATGCAGTGGGTTAAACAAGCAGAGCAGCAAGAAAATCCTACAGTGGTTTCGGAAAAGGCAATTGTCGGGCACGCAAAAGGGAGAGCTAGAAAATATTAGAAAACTAAAGACAAAAGTCTTTCTGGCCTCCTTATTATGATGAGCGTATGCGTGTGAATGGATAACAAGACTTGTATCACAAGTTGATGTCAACGCAAGAAGGTGATGGCCACGAAGAGCGGCGGTAAAACCAGCGGGAATATGACAGAACATAAGTCAAGAGGAAAAAGGGAGCACATGATAGGTTGCTGCACGAGGAGCGAACCAGCAATGACAACGAGGTGAAAGGCTCAGTCTGGCATGAAATATGTCATGTGGTCGTGCCATCTCTTCCCCTTACCTCAGTCACGCATGTGAGGGACAGCTGGGCAAGCACAAAGCATGATGAAGGAACTTGAAACCATAAGCAAGGGAGGAAAGAAACGTTAGCAAATGGCTGAACCGTGGCTGGGCCATTGGAGCAACTTTTTTTTTTTTTACGAGCCAATGGAAGATTTCTTATCTAGGTTTACAATGTCACTTTAAAGGCAACTCGTGTAGAGCACTGCGCAACTGCCACGCATAAATTGGGTCAACCCCACTTCAGAAATCTGTTTGCTCGCAACAACAGTGCTGGTCAAAAGACAGTGTGACACAACTCGGGCTGCATACCTTCTGTGCACCATTTGCCAAAGCCAGCTCTCATGCTATCAAGACCGGGCTCTCATGCCAAATTCGTCGAGCTGGTGGACTACACCTGGAAGGTAGGAAAAGGTCGAGCTAGAGTAGGTCACGCGATTTAAGGCTCCTGGTGAGCCTGAAAGTGTCACGGGCCTCCTTTGTTTGGTTTGGGCATTACTAAATCTGAGCCACGGATTGGGCAGGCACACATTTTGAGTTTAGGTTTCATCAGGAAAAGCTAGCCGATGCGGGGACAGGCGAGCCTGGTTTGACTTGGCCACTGCTCACCGTAGAGCATAGCATTACGAGATGAGAGTCGAATTGTTCTGGATTCAATTGGGGCCTCATACGTAAGCTACGTCAGACAATGTGACTGTCACAAAAAAGTCTCGCTTGTTGATCGTCATACACGAGGCTGGTCACAGGCTAGGTCACTTACAGCCAGTTAGGTCACAAGCTAGGTCACTCACAGCCAGTTAGGTCACAAGCTAGGTCACTCACAGCCAGTTAGGTCACAAGCTAGGTCACTCACAGCCAGTTAGGTCACAAGCTAGGTCACTTACAGCCAGTTAGGTCACAGGCTAGGTCACTCACAGCCAGTTAGGTCAAAGGCTAGGTCACTCACAGCCAGTTAGGTCACAGGCTAGGTCACTTACAGCTAGGTAGGTCACAGGCTAGGTCACTTACAGCTAGGTAGGTCACAGGCTAGAAAAATTCCCAGGTTAGATCAGTCAAATGAAGGATCAATAAGAGTCTCGCTCAACGACAGCATAATGAATGAGCTAAAGAAAAGCAGCAGCACGGGAAGGGCCCAGGCCAACAATGTCAGAAGTTACGCATCGAGCTCTGGTACATGTACGAGCACCATGGCTCGTTGGCTGGGAGCCTTTGCAATGCGGTACGCCAAGACTGGAAGACAATAGGGAGGTCCCGTTCCTTGTGTTGACTGAGGAGTTAGAGTGCTTGCCTTTTCTTCAGAGTTTCTTCTAATGTAGACGTCTCACGTAACGACTCTGCAGCGCCGGCGTGGGGACAGTCGATCTGCTGTGGGTGGCGAGGCTTGGGAAAACTGAAATTTCTGGAAAGGAAAGAAGGCAGTGGGATGAGCGGGACTGGCCAATGCTATTGATACGCGATTGGCGTCAGATTGCCCGGATAAGAGCACGGAGGCGTGGCGCCATGCACGACAACTGCATATTTCCGTTTGCGCTAACTCTAGGAAGTGGCAAAGGAGATGATTGAAGGCAAAGGACGAGAGAGACAGCGGGTAGGCCAACGGACTCTAAACGACGAGTGTAATGCCGGTGGAGAATGATGATGAGTGTAATGCCGGTGTGTAGCGGAAAAAACCGAACCAGGCTTAGAACTGTTTCTAGCGTTTCGCAGATTGAAACGTCGTGAGGAAGGCTTTGACGACCTTCTAGGCGCAACGGGCTCCGGAAACGCCAAACGATTGAGATGCCGCGAATCTCACATGAGAAGTTGAATGCCTTGAAACGAGCAGATAATGCGTGAGGAGGGAACGGAGGAATATTGACTAGCCGTATGACTGTTACTACTGACTGCTACGCGGGTTCGAATACTGAATATGCCACATCGATGAGTAGTAACACCGAGCAAAGTGGCTAACAGGCTTGTAATCGGAAGCAGTCGAGTGACTTCCACCACGGTGATGTGGAACGTTTCTGCTCGGGACTCGTGCTGCGTTTCAAATTTGCCATGGTGCGCAACCATAACTTCGCATCATTCAACGATGTGTGTACGTACAAACGTCGTCGTCACCTGAGCGAAAAGCGCTTTGGGAGTGCAATTACGTTCGCAACCTGTAACGGGTGAAGGAGGAGTACTGGCACTTGTGTCGTACCCGCTCAAAGCATATGTTTGGGTGAACTGAGATCGAGACAGTGAGTTGCGAATCAGGTCTCAATGTTTGGCGAGGAAAATCGGTGTTGTTTTGCAGCCCGGATGGTAACCCTAATTTGAACTTGACATGACGGGCGTTTCACATCTTTTCATACCCCACCTCACCAATTTCCTCCACACAATCCTCCCCGCTACTCGCTGCAACTTATAACTAGCGCTGACTGCTAGGTTCCGTTCGCCAACAGCTAGATCCGCGTCATCATGCACAGGTCTCACCATCCACATTCAATAACCTGTGTCGCCACGTGTCAATGCATCGAGAACGAAAAACATTAGCCTTAGGTGCGCAAAGGCGCCTCGGCTGTACAACGCGATGAAGCCACGTTTAGATCCAAGGATTAAATTTTCCGTTCAGTTTTCAATGCGAGATCCAATATTCAAGTTCAAGGCACTGCGATCGATAGAGTGAACGAGCTGAAGACGGGCTAGAGTATGACCCCAATGCCTTGAATCGCGTTCGCGGTCGATCCCATGCATGCGTTGCCCACTGCGGCGACGGCGGTGAAATGCAGCCTTGCATGCGGTACAGTGCGGTGCTACTCTACTAACACGAGATGAAAAAACTAAAACCCTATCGGATGGCATGCCATCCTAGGGAGGCATCAACCCTAAACACAGGGAGGCATGGGAAGACGTCGCCCGAATCCCTCCGAGGACACCCGTTCGCCCCTGCGGGTTTTCCTCGGAGGGATTCTCGTTTTCCCTCTGTCGCGTGGCGGGGCACGCGAGGGGCGGGAGCCAGCCTCCCCTGTCAAGAATAATATATATTTCTATATATTGTTTTGTAACTGCCTGTAGTGTAGACTAGTGTAGTTATATAATGTTCTGTTTTGGTGGTGCACCTTTCATCTTGCCTATATGTACTGCTCGCTCTATAGTGAAAACCCTTCTTCTCTTTTCAATTCTCTCGACTCTCCTAAACTTACTCGAACTCAACTAGCTATGGCTCCTTAGCCTAGCTAAGCTTTTGACATGGTATTACGAGCCTAGGTTCCACCTAGGACCGAAACGATAGGGCCCACCGTTTCCGCTAGCCGCGCCCTCGTGCGCCGCCGTTCTTTTTCCTGCGCCTCGAGCGCCTCGTTCTCAAGGCCCCGTATGGCCCCGCGCTAGCCTCTCACGGCCCCCGGTCGGCCCCGCGCTAGCCTCCTAAGGCCCCCGTCGGCCCCACGCTAGCCCCGCGCTAGCCTCCTAAGGCCCCCGATCGGCCCCCGATCGGCCCCGCGCTAGCCTCCTAAGCCCCCGTCGGCCCCACGCTAGCCCCGCGCTAGCCTCCTAAGGCCCCCGATCGGCCCCGCGCTAGCCTCCTAAGGCCCCCGTCGGCCCCGCGCTAGCCTCCCACGGCCCCTGCAGGCCCCGCGCTAGCCTCTCACGGCCCCTTAAGGCCCCACGCTAGCCTCCCACGTCCCCTGCAGGCCCCGCGCTAGCCTCTCACGGCCCCCCCCTTTGGCCCCGCGCTAGCCCCGACCGGCCCTCCCGCGCTCGCCCCTCTACGACCGAGCCGCACGGCGCGACCCGAACCGAACCGCGCGACCCAGCCGAGCCGCGCCGCCCCAGCCGAGCCGCGCCGACCTAGCCGAGCCGCGCCGCCCTAGCCGAGCCGCGCCGCCCTAGCCGAGCCGCGCCCTACTTACCTGT